CACAGCCCCAGCCCCAGCGCCTGCTGCAGGTTCTCCGGGCACGTTCCCTGCGCCGACACCCTGGAGGTTGGGATGCTCTTGTCCAAAATCAACTCGCTCGCCCACCTGCGCGCCGCGCCCTGCAACGACCTGCACACCACCAAGCTGGCGCCGGGTAAGGGTTCTCCGGGTCCGAGGATGGGGGCGCCGGCGGCGCCCTCAGCGTGGGAAGGAGGCTGGGGGCTCGCGGGCCGATGCTGAGTACCCTGTGTCTCCCCCTTCCTAGGCAAAGAGAAGGAGCCCTTGGAGTCGCAGTACCAGGTGGGCCCGCTACTGGGCAGCGGCGGCTTCGGCTCCGTCTACTCAGGCATCCGTGTCGCCGACAACTTGCCGGTGAGTGGGCGCCCCGCTGTGGGGAGGGAGCGCCGGGCGGGGGGCACGCGGCTGTGCTTTGGCCCCGGCGAGGGGATCTAACGATCTACTCCTTGGGGCTTCTAGGTGGCCATCAAACACGTGGAGAAGGACCGGATTTCCGACTGGGGAGAGCTGGTGAGTGCTCTGAAGCGAGCGACCCCCAGGAACGGTGGGTGGGGTGTAGGGCGCGCCCCGGCTCCCGCCCTAACCAGCCCTTCGTCCCTGCAGCCCAATGGCACCCGCGTGCCCATGGAAGTGGTCCTGCTGAAGAAGGTGAGCTCGGGCTTCTCCGGCGTCATTAGGCTCCTGGACTGGTTCGAGAGGCCCGACAGTTTCGTCCTGATCCTGGAGAGGCCCGAGCCGGTGCAAGACCTCTTCGACTTTATCACGGAAAGGGGGGCCCTACAAGAGGAGCTGGCCCGCAGCTTCTTCTGGCAGGTGCTGGAGGCCGTGCGGCACTGCCACAACTGCGGGGTGCTTCACCGCGACATCAAGGATGAGAACATCCTCATCGACCTCAATCGCGGCGAGCTCAAGCTCATCGACTTCGGGTCGGGGGCGCTGCTCAAGGACACCGTGTATACAGATTTCGATGGTGAGCCGGCCCGGGAGGGAGCTGCCCAGGTGTCGCGGCCGGGCCTGGAGGCCTCGGCCAGTCTCCTGCTCCGGCCTTTTGTAAAGGTCATTGGGCCGCCTGGCTCGATGCTAGCAGGGGTGGGGCGAAGGAGAGCTTCCCAGAGTAGTAAAGCCGGGGATTTCAAACCAGCTGAACCTGTAATGTTTCTGGCTTGATTTTATTTTATTTATTTTTTTTCAGTGGAATTCAGTGGGTTCCAGACTTTTCCCGAGATTATGGGCAACCGGCCGTAGCCCAGATTTCCAAAGTCTGACCCAGTTTCCCCGCCAGTAAAAGGGGGGTGGTGGGAGGGGGAAGAGATGAAAATTGATGCCGGTTTTGTAATTTTTGTTTTTGTTTCATAAGGGAGTTAGTTTTCTGGTAAGGTAGTTCTTAGAGCCGCAGTCCCCCCTCCCTTTCCCCTTTGATGTAGGGAGGGTTAAGGAATAGGAATAGTAGTTTCACTAAATGTAAAAACAAATTAGGGGGTGTTGTGGGGTGAGGGGGTAAGGAATGAATGTTGTGAAATAAGATCTGTTGCTGGTTTGAACATTAGTTGGGTGTCCGCAGGGAGGATGAAAACCTATCTTACTTTAGGGAGGGGCTTGGAGCGGGTTCTTTCAGAAAAGAAGGAATGGAGAGCCTGAGATCAAAGCGAAGGAGGGTGGGTCATCATCTGAGTGGCTTACCCTAACAAACGACAGCCTTTCAAAACTTGTGACTCTGGCTTGTGGTTTGTGTTTATTTGCCCTTGGAGGACGCTGGGTTGGGCTGCGTTTTTTGTATTTAACAGTTAATGGCTGGCTGGGTCCTCCCAGGTTTTTTTCCTTCAAGTCTTTGCTGCCCCCTGGTGAGCACCGTTGGGATGACCTCTCCCCCACCCCCCCCTTTTTTTTTTTTTACTATCCAAAGTTTGTAAACAGGAATCACGTGGTCTGAAACCAGCCCTGCAGCTCTGTCTACCTTTTCAGCTGGGGAGGAAAGGATGTGGGTGCCTGCCCCCTGGTTCTCAGACTGTGGGGATGAAGGCACCTTGACTTAGGGTGTTGTGTAAGGATCTTCGCCTGGATTGTATCTGTGATGAGAATCTCACCTGGGTCCTGGGCATTGTAGAGCAAAGTTTAAGGATATTCTGTGTGATACAGCCCTTGACTTGTAGATATTCATCCCTTTGTGGGTGGTCCTGCCACATTCTCACCTCAGACTTTGGGTCTACAGCCAGTCCTGTTTGTTTCTTGGAGGAATTGTAAAGGATTTCAGTTTATGCTTTGGGCTGGTAGAGAGGTGGGTAATGTTTTGGGTTAGAGAGATGCCATAAATCTCTCCTTCATTTTCCTTTGAGCCCACAGGGCAAAAATGGAGTTCACCCAGCTCCTGTGAAAAGGGGGAGGTGGTACTTTTTAAAGAGAACACAAGTAGCTGTGTTTGTATTTTGTTAAGAGTGTTTTCTCTCCTATTCCCCTGGCTTGCAGGGACCCGAGTGTATAGTCCTCCAGAGTGGATCCGCTACCATCGCTACCATGGCAGGTCTGCAGCTGTCTGGTCCCTGGGGATCCTGCTGTATGATATGGTGTGTGGAGATATTCCTTTTGAGCATGATGAAGAGATCATCAGGGGCCAAGTTTTTTTCAGACAGAGGGTCTCTTCAGGTAACTTCATGGAAGTCCCCCTTTTTTATTTTTTGGCAATGTTAGGGATTGAACCCAGAACTTGCTCATGGTAGGCAAGCGAAGTACTACTGAGCCACTTCTCTGCGAGTTAAGGAAAAATAGGAACCATGATGCTATTAGGGGCGGTCTTGAATTCTGGAGAGCTTCACTCTCCAGGAAATGCCATGGTCTTTTCTTTGGCTTAGCAAAATTGTAGGCCCGTGGTTTATACTTGAGCTGGTCTCAGGGATCATATGCACTTGAACTTCTCTTGGGAGGTCAGAGGAAAGACATGCGTAAGCATACTAAGAAAAGACCATCTGGTTTTCCTGAAAAGTGCCCGCCCCCCATGCTGGGGATTGGATTGCAGGTGCTCCTGCATGCTAGGCAAGGACTCTTCTATCAAGCTCTGTTCACAACTCCTGAAAATATTTAATTACCAGTGGAGACATCCCTTAACTCCTTGTTACTTTGCCAGGGAATAAAAAAGTAAAGGGCTCTTTTTTTTTTTTTTTTTTTTTTTAATTGTTGGTCGAGTAAAGGGCTCTTTTAGCCATCTCCCTGAAGGCCAAATGTTATGGTCCCAGTGACCTCATTCTGGGTGGTTTCATGATTGTTAAGTTGGTAGGTGAATTGAATCACCTCACCGTGCTCAGTGATGTCTCATAGAAAATCTCTTGTCATCATCCTTCCTATTTCTGGTGAGTGGGTGTCGTGGGAAAGGCCCTAGCTATTGAAGTTTGAAAACCACAGGTTTAATAGGGGAGCCACTTTTTAGCTGAAAGCGGCCTGGGGCGTCCTAGATAAGTTCAAGGTTTCCTACTAAAGAGTACCTGGGCACAGTGTTGTGTACAGTGCATGGCCTGCTCAGGGTCTCATACCTGTGGGCCCCTGGGAGACAAATTGGGAAGACCTTTGCATTGCAAAAACAAGTTGAGTCATTCATAACTTTAGTCTGTTCTGCTTTCTGTAGAGTGTCAGCATCTAATTAGATGGTGCTTGGCTCTGAGACCATCAGATCGGCCATCCTTCGAAGACATCCAGAATCATCCTTGGATGCAAGATGTCCTCCTGCCCCAAGAGACTGCTGAGATCCATCTCCACAGCCTGTCACCAGGGCCTAGCAAATAGCAGCCTTTCTGGCAGGTCCTCCCCTCCCTATCAGATGCTCTAGGAGGGGAAGCTTCTGTCTTCAGCTTCCCGATTACCGGTGACACTTATCGCCAAGCAGGACAGTGCTTGATACAGGAACAACATTTACAACTCATTCCAGACCCCAGGCCCCTGGAGGCTGCCTTCCCAATAGGGTGGAAGAGACTCCACTCCAGGTGTCCTAGGCCTCAACTCCTCCCATAGACACTCTCTCCTTCTCATGGGTGTCCAGCACTGCTGGACTCCGCAAAATCCCGGGGTGGGGGGTGGGGGTGGGAGAACCCTGCCATGAAACTGTTCCCTTCATCACTGAGTTCTGCTGAATGCCGCGATGGGTCGGGTAGGGGGAAAACAGGTTGGGATGGGATAGGACTAGCACCATTTTAAGTCCCTGTCACCTCTTCCGACTCTTCTGAGTGCCTTCTGTGGGGACTCCGGCTGTGCTGGGAGAAATACTTGAACTTGCCTCTTTTACCTGCTGCTTCTCCAAAAATCTGCCTGGGTTTGGTTCCCTGTTTTCCTCCCCCCTCCCTCCCCCTCCTCCATATGAAAGGTGCCATGGAAGAGGCTACAGGGCCAATTGCCGAGCCACCTGCCCTTTTTCTGCCTCCTTTAGTAAAACTCCCAGTGAACTGGTCTTCCTTTTTGGTTTTTACTTAACTGTTTCAAAGCCAAGACCTCACACACACAAAATGCACAAACAATGCAAATCAACAGAAAAGCTGTAAATGTGTGTACAGTTGGCATGGTAGTATACAAAAGGATTGTAGTTGATCTAATTTTTAAAAAATTCCTGCCTTTAAGTTATTTTACTTTTGTTTTGAAAGATGCGCATTCTAACCTGGAGGTCAATGTTATGTATTTATTTATTTATTTATTTGGTTCCCTTCCTGCTCTTAAGCTTCCACAGCTGCTGCCCTAGGTTGTTGGTTTTTGTTTTTTGTTTTTTTTTCTTTCTTTCCTCCTTTCCTCTGACTTTGGGACCTTTTGGGGAGGGCTGCGACGCTTGCTCTGTTTGTGGGGTGACGGGACTCAGGCGGGACAGCTGCTACAGCTCCCTGACTTCCGTGGGGGCCCTGAGCCTACTCATGTCAGTGGGTTTGGGCTCCCTGGGTGGTGGGGGAGGGGCATTGCTGACTAGTGTATATAGGATAGATATATGAGACGCAGTTCTGGGTGGTGTGCCTTCCGGATCCTCTCTGGGGCTGTTCTGAGCAGCATGTAGCCTGCTGGTTTTATCTGAGTGAAATACTGTACAGGGGAATAAAAGAGATCTTATTTTTTTTTTTTTTATACTTGGCGTTTTTTGAATAAAAACCTTTTGTCTTACTTTGTGGTTTCTGATCCTTGTCCATGCAGAGGCAGGCTAACTTGGTGTGCATTTATTGAGCCCTTTAGTGAGGGTCTAAAGGCCTGTTGTACTGTAGGTTTGCTTCAGCTGGAGTCCTGGGGTAGTCATTTTTACTAAGCAAATGTGGACATGATTTGTCATGAGGGGGCCCTAATGAAATAGGACATCCTCTGATTTTTGTAAAAGTAGTTTATGTTTTTTTGTCTTCTCTTTTTTTGGTGGTGCTGGGGATTGAACCCAGGGCCTTGTGCACACAAGGAAAGCACTCTACCAACTGAGCTACATCCTTAGCCCTCCAAGTATTTAATAGCCACTTGATGCTACTGGCTACCTTGTTGGCTGTACAGGGCATTTTTATTGTAGGACGTCTTCTCCAACAATGCTGACGTGGGAACATGTATCTACATCAGTAAACTTTTTTTTTTTAAACCTCTGAACCACATCCCTAGCCCTTTTTATTTTTTATTTTGATACAGGATCTGGCAAGGTTGCTTAAGGCCTTGCTAAAATTGCTTCAGCTGACTTCAAATTTGCAATCCCGCCTCAGCCTCCCCAGTTGCTGGAATTAAAAGATTTGTGACACAGCACCCAGTCCACTAGTAAAACATTCAAAAAACAATTTTTTTTAAGTTGTAGTTGGACACAATACCTTTATTTTACTTACCCGTTTTTATGTGGTACTGAGAATTGAACCCAGTGCCTCACACATGCTAGGCAAGCACTCTACCACCAATCCATATCCCCAGCCCTACCACTGATAAATTTTGCAGTCAGGTATGGTGAGGTGCCTAGTGTTCTAGTCATTAGGGAGATTGAAGCAGGAGGATTGCTTGAACCCAGGATTTGAACAACCTTGGCTTTGTAGTGAGACTCATCTAGGAATACACTGTTTTGAGCATATCCTTGATAAATGAAGAGTCTAATGGAAAGCTCTATACCTGTGTTATTTTTTTCAGGTTCCCTTCACCTTTAATGTGAGGTTCAGTCATTAACAATGGTGGGTGAAAATGCTTGTGTTTATTTTACATTTCCCTCCAATGTGCTCAAAAAAGGGTTTATACTGGGAATAGGTGAAATGTTAGCTCTGCCATTGTCTTACTGCTTGTTCTATTAGTATCTTTAGTCCGTGGCTTCTATTCAGGAATCTGTTTAATAGGCCCCTTGTCTATTCTGTGAGTTACTTTAACTTAAACTGGATGGTAGAACCCCTGAATCCACTAAGTGGTAGTCTGAACACAGCCTGATATTCTGAAACCACTGTAGCTGTGTCACTATTAACTCATATATTAAGTATTAGTATGTTGCTTTCTTGTTTCTTTATAAATATCAAGAGCCACCCTATTATTCTTCCTCCCTTGTGGGTCATCTTTCTCACCCTTCTCCTGCATCCACAGAATCTTTGGAATCTGGCCCTATATACTCTTGTCAGGGTCAGGATCCAAACCACAATACCATTCATCCTTCATTGTCTACCTTAAGCTTGGATGAGGTCCCAAACCCCAGCTTAGTCTCCATGTGACTGCAGAGAGGAAGGAAGGATTTCTTGATTATGGGGGGCTGATTTTCTGAGGTTCCCCTTTCTCACTATTCCCTCTCATTCAAATTGTGTGTGCATAGGAGTCCACACAGACACACACACACACAAATATTGCCAATTTCTTGAGTGTTGATGTCTCTTGGAAATTTGTACTTGAACAATTAAAATTTGCTCCAGGCCTGAAATTAACTTGTAATCCCAGCCACTCAGGAGGCTGAGGCAGGAGGATTGCAAATTCAAGGCCAGTCTAGATAGTTTAGCTAGACCCTGTATCCAAAAAAATAAAATCTGGCAAAACCCCACCCTTCTGTCCTGTGAAGTGAGTTTGTGTGTTCCTACTGGGTGCAAGTTATCAGGAGTTGTGTGGGAAGTGCTAGAGGTCATACTTAGTCTCTGGGTCATTTTAGGAGTTAATTTGGGAATCAGCCTTAGGCGTAGATCCTAGCACTATCACTTATGTAAATGCCCCAGGCAAATCATTACCAGCTCTGAGACTAATCTCTAAACAGAGATGCTCCTTGATAGGGTTATTAGGAAGATAGAGTAAGTAGCGTAAATGCAAATACTCTGCTACTTCATGGAGGCAATAAAAGTACCAAAAAGTACAGGGTGACAAGAAGTTCCTGGAGTCAGGATGGTGGCTCTTACCTCTCTGGAGGCGGCAGAGAGGTTGTGATCTGGAGGTACCTCTCTGTACAGGGACCTTCGATTTTCAGCAACGTCTCATAAGGTGTTTATATTACTCTATAACTTCTGGTTTGTCTTGAACAATTATTTTTAAATTTTAAAAGTAAAGGATGTATTTGGACTTATGTAGGGGGCAGCAGATGGAGTGATTTACTAATCCCCTTGGCAGAGGCAACCTGTGAAGGCTTCAAAGAGGAGGTGACATTTCAATTGGCTTTTGAAGGATAGACCTTAGTTTGCCTACCTGTAAAACGGGACAATGAACACAGGTGGAGCAGAGAAATCCAGTGAGGCTGATACTCCCCTTACAACTAGACCAGGCATCAGTCTGACTGAATGGTACAGCACCAGTTTTTGTACAGCCCCCAGGCTCATATTGGGTTTTACTTTTTTTTTTTTTGTAACAGGGATACTTAACCACTGAGCCTCATCCCCAGCTCTTTACATTTTATTTTGAGATAGTGTCTCACTAAGTTGCTTAGGACCTCCCTGCATTGCTGAGGCTGGCGATCCTCCTGCTTTAGCCTCATGAGCGTCACCTTGCCCAGCCTGGGTTTTACATTTGTAAGTGTAAATTGGGTGAAAAATAATGTCCTTGTATGTGAAGATGATATGAAGCACAATTGAGTATTCGTACATAAATTTCATGCATCTACACATCACGTACGGCTGCTCTGTTGCTAGGATGGCAGAGTTGCTGAGTCAGACTGGATGGTCAAAATGCTTTCTAGAAAAGGTTTCCACAGGGCTGAGGAGATACCTCAGTTGGTAGAGTGCTTGCCTTACATGGACAAGGCCCTAGGTTCCATCTCTGCCTAGATCAGGATCCCATTGATTCATCCATCTGCATCTTTCACAGCCCTTAGCCTAGTGACAGACACATCGAGTGACTGGGAGTCAGGTTGCAGGCTACCCACCACCCTGCCAGTGCCAATATTCAGGAGCTGAGTGAGGGGAAGAAGGAATCAGGTTTTCTCAGTGCCAGCCCAGAGAAATAGAGTGGCTGCTCCTCCAAGTCCCACCCCCCTGGGCTTGGGGCTGTGAAGGGTCCTTTCACAGCTGGGGGGCTTCTTCTCCTGAGGCTAGTTATTATGGGAGAGTGTTACAAGCCCACTCTGAGTTCTGTGAATCTAAGGAAAGGTTTTAGGTGGGGTTTCTCGGAATTTAGGTTATTTAGGTGGGGCTTGGCCTTGGAGTGCAGAATGCTGGGTAAAGGGAGGGGATGCAAAGGATTAGAAGGGAAGGTGACAGTAACCTTGTTAAGGGCAACACCCAGAAGGGACTGTTACCCTGCAGTTCCTTAGTGATATTAGCCAATGCTCTGTGCCTCTGCATGCCCAGCCAGTACTGTGCTTTGCATGGATTAACCTATTTATCCTCACAAGGACTCTCCATGAGGTGGATGGCATTATTTATCCCCATTTTACAGATGGAGGAAACTGAGTGGAACGCCTAAGTATCACGTCAAAGGTCACATGAAGAAATGACAGGTCAGAGCCTAGTGTGGTGGTGCAGGCCTGTAATCCCAGCCTCTAGGGAGGTTGAGGCAGGAGGATCACAGGTTCAAAGTCAGCCCCGGCAAAAGCCAAGGCACTTAAGCAACTCAGTGAGATCCTGTCTCTAAATAGAAATGGGAATGTGGCTCAGTGGTTGAGTGGCCCAAGTTCAATCCCCCGGTACCTCCCCCAAAAGAAATAACAGGTTAGAATTTGAGACCCTAGCCATCTGTGCTCATTACCACTTCTCTCTCTCTCTCTCTCCCCCTCCCTTTCTATGCAGTGTCAAAGATGGAACCCAGGGCCTTTCTAGTTAGATGTTTGTGTAACCAGGCGTAATAGTGCACACCTGTAATTTCTTTGACTTGGGCAGGAGGATCACCAGTTCAAGGCCAGCCTGGGCAATTAGTGAGACCTTGTCTCAAAAAATATAAAGGGCTGGGGATGCAGCTCAGTGGTAGAGCGTCTCTGGGTTCAATCTCTAGTATTAAAAAAAAAAAAAAAAAAAAAGTCTGTGTGGATTAGTCATCTCAAGATCCCTTCCATGTCCAGGATCCAGAGGTCAGGTCTGGATTCCAGAGTCCAGAGAATGGAGCAAGCAGTTCTGTTTTGTGGAAATGCTCAGTGGAGCTGTCTGAGCGCTATTTTTCACTCTGGCCTGGGAGGGAGGACTAGTCGGAGGCGGTAAAAAAGAGGAGAAGAGGGACAAGAGGTGGGGGTTGGGGTGGGGCAGGGGCGCATTTCTTGTAAATGTTGCTCAGCTCCTTTAACTGCT